TCTCTCGATTGGAACACTCGCGACGCGCACTTTCCCTTTGAGATTTACATGTGTGTATGCGATCTACCACCAGCGAGAGAAATTAACATGGAAATCCGCCAATATCGGTACTTCGGCGAACGTGTCATAGGCTCTTTACAATTATGCAAACGCGAATGCGACCGAGATCACTTCGCGCGCGAGATGATAATGCAAGTCGCGAAGGACGAGGATGCTAAATCGCCACCGATCGAAGCGTCTCACTTTTTAAAAGGCATTTCATCTTATGTAAGTATACCTCTGGACTCTTCGGCGGCTCATCTGACACCGATGATACTTGACTGTGTGCCTATATATCTACGTGTGCAAGTCTCAGGCCAAGGATGAGCCCATCGAGCCCGTTTCTACCCTACCTCGCCCATTCAGCGTTCGTCAATCTTTCTCTCTTTTCCTATCTTGTTAATCTTTGGTTGATTCATACTGAAACAGTGAATGAGAAAATATCACGGAGTCGCGAGATTGAAAAAAGGCAAGGTCGAGGATTGCGAGATCCGCTTATGCTTCGCGCTACGAGCTTGATATTTTCTCGACTTATATATATATATATATATATATATCTTCCGCGTTTGATTTTTTTAGGCAGACGGCGCGAGAATATTCCACTCCCGCTCAGTAATTGCTCATTCAGTGGCAAGAGGAATTTTCGGAATCGAGACACTACGATCGTCCGCGCGCGTGCGTGATATATATTCGTTTTCTTTCATTTGCAACAAAGCGCGTTCGCGCTCGTTAAGTCGTCGGATTGAGAGAGAAAAAAAATAAAAAAAAAAATTAGATACGAACCTGGAATATACATGAATGAATATTGCAAACCGATATCTTTTTTGTTGAAAATCAAAAGCAAATCAAGAATATGGCGTCGCTTCATATATTACGGGGAATATTCACAGTGCTGCGGCATTAAACATTCTCTTCAATTTTTGGCAAAGAGAGAAAGAGAATATTCTATCCCGAGATCTACGGTAAATATCGCGGCCTCTACACTCGAATATTTTATTGTTTATATGAATATCGCAATACAGAGATTTCACAATCGATTGCACCGGCACGATTACTATACCAACGCCCGGCGGAATTCTGGGCCGAGGTGCAGATTTTACGGGCCGATGCTTTGATCCGATCGATAGGCACCACAATGTCACGTGGCATCCTGTTTGTGCGAAATAACGCATCGCGAAATCCATTTTACGTGCGGACAGAGAAATGTTTGCTTCGATGAATAAGAACAAAGTCTCTAATTGAAGCAACACACTCGAACTGTAAATTTTTAAATAACGCTTATGGCTATCGCAGACATCATTCATACGTTTCTGAATGAGATATTTCAGAGACATAAAGATATTTATGTAGAACGTTTTTAACTGTACGTTTAAACCTCATCAAATATTCCTTGATGGTCGACCTTTGCGCGTGTGCATTCGCTTCCAAGGTGGTCACTAAATACGGTGAACTATACAATTCAAAAGCAGTTGACTGCTTGATTTGAGAGGCAAAGCAAAGGAGGGAGAGAGGGAGAGGGAGAGATAGAGATAGAGAGAGAGAGAGAGAGAGAGAGGGAGAGATAGAGATAGAGATAGAGAGAGAGAGAGAGAGAGAGAGAGGAGATATATATATATCGTCAGAAAATTTCTCTTAAGCGATGCCACTTAACTGCGCCCGCCTTTGCGATTGTTCGCAAAATTGCTCAAAGAGTACAGATGAAAGCGCGATTTCTGATAATACCAATGTAAACGATCCGCCACTGTGCACAAAGCCGCGAATCGAACGAGCAAAATATCTATCTCTTTCCCTTCTCCGTTGAGAATCTTTCGGCAGAACAAAAAAACTTGTAAAAAAATTGTATCGTTCTATAATTTAATCGTATTTTATCATTATATGCATTGTATGCTCCTGATAACAAAAAATGTTATCGTGTCGTAGACGGTGAGCCGTAAAAAATTCACTACGATCAGTATGTTAACAGTCTTAACGGCGACGTATCTCCGTTATTTGCAAGCGAAAATATGCGACAGCAGTTCGAGCAGCTGTACTTTGACCACGAAAGAAGAGGGAAAAACACTTTCCCCGCGCGAGATCGTGCGAGGAATGCATGTAATTTCGAAGTATCTTCATCGTCGAACCGGGAAAACGCTCTCGGAGCCACGTACGGGACTCGTGCGCGGTAAAAGGCCGCTATGAATGATACAAAGGCAATTTTCGAGAAAATGTGGGAAAAGGAGCTACCGCCGTGTTGTGTCGCTTCGGTCGCTTGCGCGCGAAGGTACGTATATAGCTCGCGGTTATAAGCGCCCACGGCAGAAATCGAATTTTCCGCGGTGACGGTAGCAGGGGGCGGATTTAACGCCGCGCGTAATCAAAGGACCGGCGATCAAGGCGAATTAACTCGGAGCGATTGCGCACAGCTCGTTACAATCGTCCGGGATTAATTTGGGGAATTTTTAGCTTATTAATCCGTCTAACGCGCGCTCTCGCGAGGCTTGCGTGTGAAATACGAATGGAGAAATATCGGCGTGTTACCGTGGATTATTCTCCTGTGGGGGGACACGGGGTTCGTTTAAAAATTACACGGTATAATTACCAGCAGGACGTCTCTCTGCGAGTCTGTCTTTGTGAATTAAAATAATTAATATCGCATCACACTGACGCGAAAAACCTTCCTATCCCGCTCGTAATCCGGCTTGTGTCGGAGCGACGGTGGAATAAATGCGAATATAAAATCGTCCGACTGCGAATAAATGTCCCGCTAGTTGATTTCTTCTCTGAATCGAATTTGTGCGAGCGTCGGTAGCCACGCTACAGTTTCACTCGCGGAAATTCATAGAATGCGCCGAAAGCTGAAAAGCCCGTTTATGAGAGAGTATTCCGACGATTCGGACGAGCAGTGGGAGTATTTCGTTTCCACGACGAAAAGTCGCGGCTGCACGCGGTGACGTGCCAGGATTTCGGAACATTTCGCTCCCGTAACCGCGAGCGAAATTCGCGTCGCGCTTCCGTTCTCTTTCCTTCGAATTCGCGACGCACAACGTTCACACGCGCCGAACTATTTTCCGCCTCTTCCGTATCTTCAAACTCCCGTTACAAGCCTCCTTCTCCTGCGAAATGAGAGACGATCGTTATACGCGGAAGGCAAGCGCGTCGAGTCGTTGCGCAGTTGCGGCGAGAAGCCGCACGCGAGGAATAAGATGCATAAACGCAAGCAGGAAAGATGACGACCGTGTTGTCGTCTTGTTAACGACGAAACGACAACCGTGTATTGTGTTATGTCGTGACGGCAGATCGAAGGAGTTACTATCAAGTTCGCCATAGTGGAAAAGAGTATTTCCGAGGAGCGAAGCGAATGCATCATCTCTTACTCTCTGCGAACCACGGTAGTGTAACACAAAGCACGACCTACTTCAAAAGAAATCATTATTCGTCGGCGCAAATGCCCCTCTCCTCTCTCCCACCTCCGTTGCCCCTCACTCAGAATTGCTGCAACGAAACATACTTGAACTACGCTGCGCCGTGACGGAATATCGTGAAAAGCGTTACTCACGTTGTGTGATGCGAGAACGGAGAGATGTTAAATCTGTGGCCGTGCGTGACGAGAGGAAATACTCGATCAACGTTCACAATTTTCTCCGGGCGAGTCTGAAACGGGATCTCGCAAGCGGGGTCTTGAGAAATCTTGAGAAACGACTCCAGAGTCGATGAGAACCCAGTCCATTCAACTGATAATGCGTTTGCCATTATAAATTCATAATACTTGACCGCTGTTCGACTGTATCGCCGCGAGGAGAACAAACGCATGCCAAATCGCCCGCTCTCGTGAAGCGTGAAATATCTCACCGACGAATAGGCACATACGCTGCTCCGCATGCGAGTAATCAAATCTCTATTATACACAGGGTGAGGTGAGAACCACGGACGGATGAACGGATCGGGCACGAGCGAACTTGAAATGAGCCACGTGCGAGTGTTCCATACGCGCGTGTTAAATAGTCGCGATCGTCGTTCACGCTTTCCCAAATTTTAAACGGAAAATTCTCTATCGTTATTGCGATGGGTGAAAAATCTATGCATATCATCAATCTTCTATTTGCGCTATAAAGAGAACAATTTGATGCCAGTGTGGCTTGATGTCAGTGTACGACATAAGCTACTTTTATGCGCAGGTCCACCACCCGGCGCATTTCCTCTTTATCTCTCATATATTTATGGATTGAAATTTAATTAAAAGTTTCCATCGCATATATATACACACGTAATTTTCGGAGCGAAGCGCGGAGAGTTAAAGAGCCGATTAATTTTTCTCTGACATTGCGAATACGCGTAAACGAGGCTGAAATTGCTATTGAAATTGAATATAATCTCTCTTTGCGGATACTTTGTTAAATATTAGAACAACTGACAGTGGCACGAGAGAGAGAGAGAGAGAGAGAGAGAGAGTGTGTGTGTGTGTGTGTGTGTGTGTGTGTGCGCGCGCGCATGTGTGTACATGTTCATGCGCTATCGCCAAAAACAGAAAACCAATATTTGGCTGGATATAACACGCACTGAGTTTTCTAACGAACGTGCCCTTCCAATTTCGTACTACAATTTTATCTACTAGGACAACCTAAGCGTACGCGATGTGTTTTACAGCAACGCGTATACACGAGCGCGGGTGCGGCACGCCGGCGCGTTTAAAGTGATATACACGGTGGGATTCATCGTGGAAGTGAGTCTCATGAAAAATATCGCGCAAGGCACTTTAATCCTACGAGCAACAACATAAATGGCATTCAAAGTGATTCCTCCGCTACAGCGCGACCATCGATCTTCGCATCCGAGTGTATCCAACATTAATACTGCGAATAGGGGTCGGAACGAGGTGCAAGGGTGAAACAGGAGATAGTGTGTGCGCGCGCGATAGTGTGTCACCTGGTGTCCCAATCGGGACGGACATTCATCGCGGAGAAAAGAATAATATCGAGACTCACCGGCACCGAAAGCCTGCTGTCCGTTCTTGTCGTCGATCGGGGTTCCTTCTAAACTCGCCGGTCCGCTGTCTGCCCCGCCAGTCGCACTGTGAAAATATTTTTTCATACGCGCCATTGTTTGTCTTACTCAAGGACGAACAACGTATCGTGTTCGCATACGGTAATATCAGGTCGAGTCATAAATAGACCACGAATGTTTACATAAATATACATTTCGATGGAAAGCGGATGGTCGCGGAGTGCCGGCCGACATAAAATCGAAACATCCTGTGAATATAGAAGATTCACACATTTGTTATAAACATGTAGTAATTATACACGACAAATGTATATGTTCGCGTAAACATTCGCAGTCTAATAACAGAAAGATTTCTCTAACAGCAAATCAATTTATCTTTCTAAACATCTATCTAAGTTATGTCTACCAGACTAAAAGGGAATAAATCATTATCAAAAATAGAGAGTAATACACCTAACAGGGACGTAAGGTGAGGTAGAGAAAGGGTAATACACACAATCACTTTGGGTCAGACTGCATTGTAAAAGATAGTACATAAAAAAAAAAAGACAAAGGGAGAGACACATAGATTGTACATTTATGACCCGACCCAATAGTGAAACATGAAACACATAGATGCCACATACTCTGAAGCCCACCTGCTTGCATCGTCATCCTTTACTTGTTCGCCGGCGGGAGCCTGGATCTCCTGAGGAACCTGGCTGCTCTCCGATGTTTCGGTCGGCGGCGGAGCCTCACCCTCGCCGGTCCCGGCGCCACGGCTTAAGCCGGGTATTCCACCGCTCAACCAGCCGGACATTTGATTCTTCACCCCGGCGAACATTTCCAGTTTATTGCCTTTCGGACTGCAAGAAGAAAGATTCCGGATGTTACGGAGGAGGCATGAATTTAAAGGCTAGAATTCCGGACGAATGAGATTCCGCGAGACAATAATTAAGAAACATTTCGCTAAATGTGCGCGATAGAGATTTCAATGAGTGTATAATTAACGCGTTATACGGTAACCGCGACGGAACCGCGATGGGTCGAATGCATTAGCGACGGGAAAATGAATTACACAGGAAATTATGAGCTCGAGGGTGACAATAAAAACGCACTTTTACCTTTTTAACCACTTGTCTGAATTTTCGCGTAAAAGTTTCACCTCGTTTAGAAACTTTCTTGCCAAGATCAAGATTTAATGTCTCGTCCGCTCGCTCGCTCGAAAGACGGAGAGAAACGTAGGAGCTATATAGTTTATATGCGGGGCACTGTCACGGTAACAATACCGCTAATTACCAGTCAAAGGATTTGCAAGGAGAGAGATATGTGAGAGACAAAATTTCTAGCAGTGCTCCTAATTGCGCTCGAGTTATGGATTTCGACAGAACGGATAAGGCGGGCTGGTGAAAATTTCGAAATGCATTACGTAACGCGAGTTTGCGGAGGTCGTACAACTCAATTTGCATGTACAATAGGGGTGGATAGTAATCCCGCGTTTCCGTACTCATGTTAGTACGTATTACGAACACGTTCTAAGACGTTGTGTATATGTTACATGCAGACGGAGAAAAACGTAGCAATTACAATCAAGTAATTTAATGTGCAAAGAAAAGCCCTCTCTTTATTCCTTTTTTAATTTAATTAAAACACCACGTTTATTATAATTTTCCTTCTCCAGCAACATCCAACTGAGCGTCGAGAAAATTTCACGTTGAGTTTCCATAAGAATCAACTAACGAGAAAATCAATCCATTACTTGATTTGACTCCGTGACTCCAGTAGCCGGAATCTCTTCGCGTAGAATCTTCTACTCGGTGTGTAAACGTTAGATTAAATTTTCACCGGCGATGCGAACGGTTTGTCGCGTGCGAATAGACGACGTTATTGCGAATGAAGCACCGCGGTCGGTTTCCATTTCGCGAATTCCGTACGACCGTATATAATTGTGTATGTGTGTGTGTGTGTGTGTGTGTACGTGTGTTCGCCAGGTGGACGTCGATCGAACGGAGCATCGCATCACCAGCGCGAATTGATTTCGCACGAACGTACGATCGTTCTGCATGCACTGACATTTGACGCGTATGTCGCCAGTGCGCATGCATAATTCCTCGGTAAATACAATTGTAACACGTAGTTTATGAACATACACAGTTGAAAATTGAAATCGCTCGAGTGAGCGCGCTCACCATTTACAATGCGTCAGCTCGAAGTCGATTGTCGTCAAATTATGAAGGCGCTAATTGTCGTGTGCTGTACGATATCCGCCCGTATGTCACGCCCGGAAAGAATCGGATATCCGAGCATGGAATGTCAGGATAAACTTGAAAAAAAAAAAAAAGTAGGAAGGCAGAAGAGAATTTTACTGCGTTTCGCGATCAACAGCAAATTATATCCGAGCTTTACATAATAAACTAACGAATCGTGTCATGATAATTCGAAACGATAGAGAGATATTAATGCAAACATGTGGGGATTTAAACATACATCATTAATTAAATGTTAATTTTGAAATTAAAGAAGAGCGGAGTTAGAAAAAGAGGCGAAAGGGTCGAAGCGAAAAAGATCGCAATCGGTTATATTTCCAGATCAAATGCACCGATAACCACCTGTCAATACAATAATTCGTATTAACGTATTGTTGCGGGCGTTTCCAAATTCGTTGTTGCGAGAAGTTATTAACTGCAATACGCTTGTCAATCAGTCTATTCAGATATCGTACGCTACTGAATTATATAGCCGGCCACACCGTATACGATAATGTCGCGCGTTATCGAGCGCGCCACAAACTGCGTCTTAATTAATCGCGCAACTGGGAGAGACAGCAGACATGTAAAAACGTAAATTATCATCGCGAGGCAAAATGATGCATTTGTAGTATCGACGACGCGAGGCTGTGCATTCGTTCAAGATTCAACAAGATTTCTTACAGTTACGACAGTCGCGACATACATCCAGACGACTTATCGAACGCGTCCAAAGTCGTGGAGGTGCGAAACTTCCGGTCGCAGTTGAAGCTTTTCGAAGAGTCTCGTCGATTCTCCGCGTCCCATGCGTCGTTCATATTTCAACTGCGCATATTCGTGACATCTGTCGGTCCGCTCGTCGCAATCGAAACGCTGGTAACAAAAGTGGGACCAAGCAGCACGACGCAAGTCTCAAGAACGAAACAGAAGTTGTTACCTCGACACTTCGCGCTGCGCTTGCTCGGTTTAAAATTTAGCGAAACCGGGCTACTCGGTTCGCCACTCTTGCAACTTCAGCGTTGCAATTTCATCACGATCACTCTTTACACCGGTAGGAGGAGGGCGAAAAAGGATGTTGCGACAGCGTTATGCGCAGTACCGTTACCTCAAGCTCCACTTTTCTACGCTCGCTGCATTTAAGACGAGATAAATATGTATATCCCAGTCGCGAGAGAAGGCGGTTCCACGAGGGTATTCTGTTCTAGAAGAGAGAAAGATTGGCAGCCGGGAAAAAGAATGCGGAAACAAGGATGCGGCATCGCGAGTAAATCCGGCGTGGAGCCGCACGGGACATCGTAGGGGAGTCGCGCTACTTTACGTAAGTCGGACGTTATTGATCTAATCTCGAAAATGCATCCAGCGAGGTGGAGATTGTGTCGCTGTCGCTTTTAAACGGCGACGCGGCGCGCAGGCAACAGAAAGACAGAGACAGAGAGAAGAGCGGAGAGAGAAAAAGAGCGATAGAAAGAGAGAAACAATTACGTGCGAGTGTGCGTACGACGATCGAAGATCCCAGAGACCAAGAGAACGACGACGACGCCCGCGATCTCGCGTATCACGACATCCGAACGGCGATTTCATCGACCGGAGACTGAAACCGCCATTGTTTCGCTCTCGCGGTTTCGACTCGGAGGCTACGTTGAACGCTGTAAACACGCGAGGCTATCTTCGCGGCAGACGTGTTTTCCGCCTTACCTCCACTACTATATGTAATCGTGATATCACCGCGATATCTTTGATTGAAACTTCAACTCGGAGACAAGAAACATACCGATTCTGCTCTCAATCCAGCGTTCGGGATGACGTATGCACCGTACCGTATATCGAACGTAGTATTTGGCGACGCGATCGATCTCGCGTAAGTCGCGCGCGCGACTCGCGGCTAACGTCACGAGATACGTCGCGAACGCGCACGCACACACGACTCGCGGTAAATCGGCGACAGTGCGCATAACTACTATATTATCACGAGCCAAATGCTCCGTGGATGATAACAGCGAAAGAGACGCATTTGTGCCGATGCATTAACGAGCAGATTTGGCTTCGCACGAACGTCATATATCTCGTTGCGACGTATGACAGGTTATGGACAGAACGCAGGATGGCGTACATACCTGGTGTTGTTCTTTTTCTCAAGATCACCGCCGGTCTCGGCGTCCGGGGACGCGGCTTTGGGCTCGGCTGGCAACTCGCTGCCATTCTCGGGCTTCTTGCCCATCCAGGTGGACACCTGATTCGTCAGGCCGGAGAACATCGTGCGACGTACGTGTGACGACGAGCTTGAGAGAGAAAGGTGGATGCGGTATTCTTCTCTCGCTCTCTCTCTCTCTCTCTTTCTTCTTCTCCTTCTCACTCCCTCTTTCGGCCGAACGACGTTTCTCGCCTTCGTAAAGCCGTAGAATCGAGCGCGACCGTCACGAAGCCCTCGCGGGACCGAAGTGACGACGAATACGAAATTATCTCGTCCGTCCTCGCGACGGCGCTACCACAGACTGCGTATGTCGCACGTGCACGCGCGCAACTCGCATGGCGCAGCTGCCGTGACGTTACCGCCACCATGGCCTTGTGCGGCCGACCGGCGAGTTAGCGCCGCGGCCATCGATCGCACGCGCCATGACGAGCAATGTCTGTTCTCCTCGGGGTATAAATTATGTTACGTAGGTGAGGGAGACGCGACGATGAGAAATGATATTTGCGAAAGAGCGATTCACCGAAGCGACGATTCACACCGAATAATAACTATTGATTCTAAGACATGATTGATTCGAAGCTGCGATTGAGGTATCTATTGCTGGGAAAAGATGATGATTGCATTTTTTTCTTTATGAGTGATATTGGAAGCAAAAAGAGAGAAAGATAGAGGGGCAGGAGGAAGGAGAAAACATATATGGTACTTTCTAATATGAAATACAGTAAATATGTTGAGCTAAAGACGCCAAACATAATATGTGGACTTTACCTAACCTAAAAGAACTTTGTCGGCGTAAAAATATTTTCGTTCCGTAGATATACAAATGTAGATAACTTCTCTCTTTTCACTCGTGGAACGTAAAACAAACAATAGCGCTATGTGTCGTCAACGACCGAGATAGCTCGAATTTTATAGTAAACAATTATGTTCGATAACATAAATCCCAAGATTCACACACTCGACTAATCTCTATCGTATTATTGAGATATACGTGATCACTAAATAGCGACACGATGGAGATCGTCGTGAAAGCTCAATAAAATCTGCTAATCAAACGAAGTAATTATCTTGTCTTTTTCATTTGGCGACACGAAATATCTATATACTCGACATTCGAACGTTAATTATTGTTCCCATTATTAAGACGCGATATTAAGCATTTTTTTTTTACCCATATTTTGGAAGCTGCGTTGTAACAGCCGAGTTGGCGATCATATTTTGTTTGAATATCTAATAACCGCCTAATTACCATTAACCGCCTAATTGTTAAAAATATTGAAAGATTCATGTTGATATCGTCACGTTGCCATCGGATTCGGTTTCAATCGTTTCATTTGACGATGCAGCGATATTAAAAATATCTGTATTTTATTTCGACTGACCACAGGCCCAGGCAGTTACAACAATTATCGAATAAAGTAAACATTTTGTACATTTGTCCGCTCCTCCAAGGTGTTGTATAGCGTCGATATGTCATACGGAAGCACCGTGAGCATCGTTGCAATGCGAGACATGAGGTAGAAGACACGTAGCGCGTGACGCTTGAAGGTGGCACATTAAGAGGTTAATGTTATATATAAATCGTAACAGCGATAAACCAACAGTGCATAACGGTATTCCGTACAGTATACTGAAATCTACGGTTATACTCTACCGACTGCTCGGTTTGTTCGTATTTGTTCTCTGTGTTCTATATATTATATTTTATCATTTGTTTTTTATATCTGTATCGAACGTAAAGTATGTTTGTTTATCGTACGAAGTCAATAGAAGGACGTCGCGATGAAGCACCATGTGTTGGTATGTATCACAGTTTGGCACAGACAATCTAAACAAACATTGCGTAAAAACCTCGTGACGTCTTCTTTAGCTCGTCCCGCGGTAAGTATGAATGTTTGTCATTGTGACAATACCTGGCTGATTTTGTTTATAGATACTACTCATCTATAGTGTCGACATACATCATCGACGGATCAAACGCATCATATAATTATACTATCTATATCTGTATGGTCTTGAAAAAATCTGAATCGGTTGGTAAGTTTAACAACTTCGTCTGTCTTACAATCGTCTCGTTCGCGAATTAAGATACATTGGTCAGTTAGACGCTATTACGCCGTTACTTGACGATTCGACACGTTAAATGATAAAACGCGAATATTTCACTGGAACGTGCGATGTAGCGAAGAATTAAATATTCCGAATTTCGTCCCCTAGGAATGTGTTTCACCATGGATCATCGTCAATGAGCTGGAGCTGTTTTTGCTGCTTCCAGAGCAGCTTGTTGGCGTTGATACCTGAAACAGACATTAATACAGTGAAATCAAAAGCTATAGAGAGCAAATGAAATGTAACATTCTGCGACATTATATGAATATAAATAATGCAAGAAGTAACATGTACGCGAGCGAGAGCAAAACAGGAAAAGTTGGTAGACTCGTTTGCTTAATTAATTCTACCGGCAACGCCGGCGACGTTTCGCAGTAATATCTACAGCTAACAGAAAATTCGTGTTTATTTCGAGTAATCTTATTCGAAGGTAAAGGAAAAGTTGAGATTTTTGGAATGTAAATGTCAGAAAATGCACATTCGTTAAACGAAATTGATCAAATTCTTTCAGGAGATATGTGAAGATAATTACATCATGGCTCTCGACACTTGGTATATGGCTGTACACGCGACGAACAGATTCACACTAAAGAGATTCCAATTTTTCGGTATGATGGCTAAGGAATATCTTGTCCAGATCAACCCGGTGATGCCCAAGGCACAAGATTGACTGATGGAAATTTTGTGCGCTGGCCTCTGCAAATCACCGAGTCCGGCGATTACGAGTCCCTGCAAATGGCAGAGAAGATGATGCAAAGAATATTTCTCCTCGATACCGAAATTACGCAAATAAAGCATTATAACGCGGCATTCGCTCTCGCAAGTTTTTTTTTATTTTATTTTTAATTTAAGATTTTTGCATTATAAAATTCCATTTATAAAAAACAAGTAAAAAATAAAGACGCATATGTATTCGTGCTTTAATGGTTGTAGAGTCACAGTCACGAAGGAATCGATATAATACGAGATGAATATGAATAGCGTTCGGCATATTTCTGTAACACGCGTTCGTTTGCCAACACACATTACGCAGTAGTTGCCTTGAGACAAAATTGGTTTGTGTACCAGCAATGTGCCGCGTTATTATTCAATCATGTGACATTCTGCGACATATAGTTAAAGGAACTAAAGAAGATAAATCGGATAAATAGAAATCTTACTTTGAGATCTGAGAAAAAATAGTGCAAATACGGTTGCAAATATTCACCATGAGATGTAATAATTTAAAACTACGTTCGTATTGAATCGCTTAAATTTTCTCAATTCATGTTGTTATTCTGCTTGATTAGTTTTTAATTTATCACAATATCACAACGGGATGATGAATATTATCGACATTGAAAAAATAGAAAAATCACTACTAACCCATTTGAAGGCCGGTGCCCAAAAGAAGATAGTTTGCGGACCTAAAAAGATAGATACATATTGCAGACGATGCAAGTTGCTAAGAAACATGTTGTGACATAACGTGTACATGTACGAGTAACGTACGGTGCATTACTGAACTTGTGCTCCCGTCTATTGTTCCTCAATTTTTCAAGGATACTCAACGTTCCACGAATGCAGCGATTACGCGGTTTTTTTTCCATATAAAATGTATAAAAATGTTTTATACATTGTAACCTTGTACTGGATTAAATTCGCTGACGGATATTTACATGCCGTTCGAGAGGAAAACGTTGTCAGAGTTGCCAGAGTCGCAGACAATACAGTGATCAATGTCAGCATAGTTATCAATACATGCTGCCTGCTCCATGATTCTACTCTTTCTTTCTCGATATATGTACATACATACATATATATATTTTTTTTTCTGTACTTCCGATCTAACAGGTCGATTAAGTTCATTAAGCAATCTTGTATGACGGACGCAAAGTAGCGTACGCCCTTGTTTTCATACAAGCTGTAATTTGGTGAAGGTACGCTCGTCTCGCAGCCAGCTACTTTGAAAAGTCACGCTGCGGAGAATAGAACTCGACATAAGTCGATGATAATATTGAGAAAAATTTTTTAAATGTATAATTGATATAATAATAAACATTTTTTCTGTCACGAGAGAGATATTTTTTTTTTGTTATTATGACAACACTGTTATCGATATATTTTCTTTTCACTTTTATTCAATTTACGTCATAGAAATTGATCGTGACGAGGGTACCTGCATAGTAAGCGCAAGCGAATTTATAGACTACATAGATACAAGTTGCGAGCGTGAAGTGTTTTCAAATAAGATCGACGATGTGAGTTAATGAGATTCGCACGATACGACTAATGAATATAGAACACGTATGTAAATGACAACTGTGAATAAGCTTATGAAAATTAGGACGAAGAACGCGATTCATATTAATTCAAAATGCAATTAAACGAGACTTGGAAAACGCGGAGACCTTGAAGAAATCGCATTGTAAAGACTAGACCGTTCGCATGTTACATGAATCTCATAGCCAATGTGATAACAACGATGGAACATAAACGTAAATAGACAAAACACTTACATAACTGGTTGATAAGGGAGCGGTGAATGATAAAGCGAAATGGTTGAATGAAACAATGTCCGTGCGTATGCGTCTATCAACGCGTCTCATAACTATTCTCGAGGAAAATTAAATGTGCCGACGTGGCCGACTCGTTGCTCCGAAAGCAGGCGTTATTTAAAGATCCGAATCGTCATCTCGATAATAGAAGAAAAATAGACGATAAGAACGGGTAGAAAAAAGCCAGGATATGTCAGATAATTTGAGCGGTCGCGTGCACGATTTCTCAGATAAGGAAGTGTTGTTTACATACAACGAATATACACGTCAATCGCGCCACGTACACATTTTCCTCTCATTTCACGCGACACATCGTACGACACACACACGACAAGTGCGAGACGCATACGCACACAAACAGTTTTTCTACGCACGTGCCACCTGCCGTGGCACGGCTCGACGTGATAATCGACCGACCACTTTACTGACCAGCTGGATGTTTCCACAGAGGTTGCAGCTTCTCGGGCACAAATTTGCTGATGGCGTTCATCGAGTTCTTGTAGATCACCGACATCGTCGCTCGCGGTCGTCGACTTTCGAGTTATCTCACTCCACGAACAATCGTTCGTAAATCGAATAATCGCGGAAAATTAACTGGAGCGATAGAGCGAGACGCAGCGGTGCGGCGATCCGCACGCAGCAACCGAGAAACGCCAAGTGTGACGCGACTCGAAAGCGTCAGATCAGTTGATTCCCCCTGGTCGCTCCTCTTCCCGCCGTGCCGCTAGCGACCCTGCTGTTGGTGAAATTGCTAGTGGGGCTGCTCTCTTGAAAGTGTTGCGCATCATGGTATGCGCATCCGCGAATTGTTACCAAACCACCGGCTTTACATTGGCGTTCACGTGATTGCGGCGGCGTTTGAAAGATTAATCTATACGACAGGGTATTAATTTAATTAACTTCATTTTATATTGCATTATATCACAAGATATTCGGATATTTTTATTTCTATTGAGCGATCGAGATGCTCTGACAACTGCGCGTCAATGAGTGAGATTCGAGCGGCAATTCAAGTGACTCTACGCAATAACCGAACTATGTGACGATTAGCTGCCTTTTGTTATGTAGTTAATTGTAGTATGTCAGACTGTTTTGAACGCCTCATGTGCTCTGAATATCGAGATTTTCCATTAATATACATGTCATTGTGAACAATAGACAAAACGCCATATACGCGTTGTCCATGGTCGTTTCGATAGTTCGAGTATCTCAATCGCGACATGTTCAGTTCGGTAGTAGCCGGTCGCGAATGGCGCATCGCGGTAAATCAGGTTCGAAAAGTCGTCTCGTATCCACTGTTTATCGGGTACATCGAAGGTGAATTTTACTCTTGAGTTGCCTCCGGGAATGCGGTGAGTGAGTTTTTTGCGTTGTTGTGATAATATATCGTGAAATGACCTCGGAAAGTGAGCATCTCATGTAGTGGCTTGTCGGGATTGTCGGACAAAAAACGTACGTTATATCATGTTACGACAAGTCGCAGTCCCTTATATTTTGGCTCACCGAAGCGAGTCTCGCATATATAGACCATCGTCGAGAGGGCCGACAGCAAGTTTTCGTGCGTTTGTGGTGGCGAAATGTCCATAGCCTCGAAAATTGATATTCGCGAAAACGACCGTTGCGAGTACCGAGTGAAGTAATGCGCGTAACGAAGTGCTTTTAGTAACTCACTCGTTGCGCGCTTCAGTCAGTTTCGAGAAGAATTTGTACGGTTAGTTTCTCAAGTACGATGGCCCGGCAACGTAGGTTCGAACTTGTCGCTTCGTATTTTTCGTGATTTCTCGTCTCATCGGAGACGAGAGTCTCGCGTCCGAAATTGTCGCCATCGCCGGGAATGCTGTAAGTAAGTTTCGTGCGTTGTGTCAAAATATCATCGGATAATCGCCGGGAATGATCGTCTCGTTACTAACTAAAAATGACGAATCGGGTGCAGATTCAGTTACTAATCGTCACGTAACGACAGTTTGTCGTTCAAACTGCCGTCGTTTGCGTCTCCGCGAGATCCATCGAAAGTAAGTGTCGTGCGTCAATTGTCCCTGAAAATGAGTAATATGTTTGTTATAGTCACAAAATGTCGTAACCGTTGGGAAATGAACGTTGGGAGTGCCGAGTGAAATGCCGCATCAATCAACAGTGTTAACAGCTACGTGTTAGACTTTTATCGGACAATGAGATCGGTCATCTGCGGCGTGATGCTGTTCCAAGACGGAAAGCTAACAACGGACATGGGCAGCGAAACAGATGTCGTAGGTGAAAATCGATCGATGGAAAATTTAAGCTGTGAGTACGCAAATTGTGATATTGTTATAAATGTTTAAACAACATGACGAATATATCTAAATACAATGGCCACTTTTTAATTAATGTACATCGAAGCGATTCATTTCACGAATAATACTGTTGTCGCACATAAAAAATTTTTTATCGTGGAATATGTAAAAAATCATGTATAAAACGATTAGGGATTTGAATAGCACTATTTTTTTCTCGATAAATATAATTATCATATAATTTTAATTATATGATATGTGAAAAAATTGAATTATATATATATATATATATATATATATATCTCTCATTATACTGATGCTTGAATGAGTGGCCTTGCTAAAAATGCGCGTACTGACATTGGCCGAGAGTTTCCAATCGGATACTCTGGATGTTTGCCAAGTCATTCCTTACGACAAATTATCTATTAATAAAACACCAAGTATGTTTGTTCCGTATTCATAGATAGATATTAACGTAGAATTCTGGATGATGTTTAAAAAAAATAGTCTCACGGCTCTGATAAATATGTTTAAGGAATTCTATATATATCTTATTAAAAAATAATAAAAAGAAAATTACAAATTAAATAACAAATAATTAAAGAGCATTATATACCCGTATAAGGATATCAAGGGAAATTTTATATATATATATATATATATATATATGTATGTGTATAAAAATGTTATCATAATACTATGTACAATTTTTATTGATATTTTTTTGGTATGTTTTTATAATAATAATTAAAATACAGAAATTATATCTTACATGCAATAAAATGAGATACAAAAGTAAAAATAAAAGTTGAGCTCAAAGTCAGAATGCAGAATATCTTACTGCACCATTCAATCTTAGTCACATTTTTGAGCATAATACTAGATTTCGTTTAATTGAAAAAAGACTCACATCTAATCGGTTATCACTGGTGTCAATAAACACATACATTGCTAGTACACGTTAAAATAAACAAAACTTAATGAAACTTATTCTATGTAGGGCTGCTGTTGGATTAGATGCGGTCTGATTGCGATTCGCAATAAAGAAATATTTATAAAAATTCATAAACATAATTGTGCCAATATAGGTATATACATATAAATTTCACAAGGATTACTTATTACACTGACTTATAATGCCTATATTGCATAATAAACTCGTTCTAGACATATTGTACATATCTATAAGGCACATATGCGTCAAGTTTACGGCGCTTTTTCTAAAATTCACCGTGGAAATTATTATATTATCGACTTATTTCCTGAAATATACATACAAGTCATGACAACGCTGTATTCAATTGAGGAATGAATTCAGTAAAATTTAAAAACCGTCATGCTTATCAGTCTTTTTTGTAATGTTTTCGATATACTATACTGAGAGAAACACTGATAGTAAAAGCAATATTTAAAATTATCAATACAAAAAGATGCTGTCATCGTCATATGGTAAACGATTGTTGATGTAGAGACCAGTTGTTGCTATAAACAATGTTATGCATCATATAGGTTACATACACGATGAATACAAACATTATTTAGTTGATGATATTGCATATACATACACATACATACAAAATAGATACATATGAAGGAACACATCAGTTTGTTAAAAAAGGCAACAAGCCATTAATAAAATCACAATAATTATAATAATGTAAAAGAAAAAAATAAATGTGCATGTGAGCATTTATGCATAATACATCAACTATGTTATGTTTTGTTATCATATGATTTTTTATCACTTTTATATGATGCATTTAGATTGTCATGTATCATTGCGTGTCCTGAAAATGTTCCTATATATAAATTCCGCATAATATTAATATATCACAAAGAGTATTAAAAATCTTCCAATGAGACCAAAAGTCGTCATTAAATATGCAATTACCTTCAAAAGGTATACAATATAACATATTTACGTTAACGAACACATATCTAATGTTTGTCCGTAATGTAAATATTTACCTATAAGTAAAAAAAAAAAAAACGATCAACTGAGATAAAATTGTGCTAACTACGTGAAATATTGAGTTCAATCGATTAAATATTTTCCAAAACTTGAAATAATACATTATCAAAGAGTAATGTAGAATTTACCAAAAAGTATTTGCGATTATTGTTTACAATGTCGTAAAAAATACATCTGTCATGTATGTACAATTGGCAGCTAGAGAAATTTTTCTAAAAATATTATACATGGCACAAATACATGAAGGATTTATACAAGAAACACATGCTTTCATATAAGGAACATATAAATGCATTTTCATGTGTTCCTTGTATCCTGCTTTTTAGTTACAAACCTGAAATTCGCGAGAAAAATACGCCTGAAAAATGGTTTTATATTTGTTACATATAAATGGTAAAACGGATCTGAATTTTTTGATAAATGCAGATGGCAGTGGCGTACATGGTTAAAGTATCAAAATGAAACAATCGAAATATATACAAGTTTGATCATACGCGGTAACATGTGGTAACTCGTGTTACAACATTTTGATGTCATTAAGATAACGTATTGATACGTATATCTTAATGTAATATCTTATATAATTATTTTATACAATTATCTTTTTTTTCCAGATTTTCTTTTAACGATATGATAATCGTATATATAGATGTCTTTATATATACATATGTTTATATATTTCAAGATATATCTCAAAATTATACTCATGCTTCTGCATCCTGCTCTGCAGAATGTTATCACATATGTATAATTGCACATTCCGAAGGAATTGCATTCTAATGTTATAAGCAGTCCACCTTTGAGATAGACTGCCTTTTTTATTAAGTATGGTTAAACGGTTTAAATATACTCACGGATCCGTAAATATCAACCGTGAGGAATTTAGAGAAATTTTGGGAGAAACATACTTTCGTTGTACGGCATTGTGGCAGTTCGAGAACCGCTAGCAAGGCTGGTTGTTCCGGATTTCGTCCTTCTTTGTCCTTCCAATTTATATACATGCAATTAATGCCATTTGCAGTGCCTGCGTTTGATTCCGCGTTATGTTGTAAATTGGATTCCAAGCTTCGGCTGTTAGGTATTTGTTGAGTCGAAGATGTGTTTGCGCTGATCGAAGGAGTGCTCCTGCTGTGAATAATACCCATTCGACTTCTCTTTTTCACATTGATCTTATCATTTTGCAGAGAGACGTTCCACCAAGCTAACTCATCGTCTGCTAATGAAAGTAAAATCGGTGCGTCTAAAGTAGTCGGGCCCCAAGACAATTGTTTGATAGAACTGTTGTGAAAGTTGAGTTGTTGTAGCTCCGTATTTGTTCGTATGTTGATAATCTAGAAGAATGCTCAATGTTAAACACATTTTGATACACATACGAACGTGATAACGCGCGAGTTTAATTATCATGAAATAAACTTACAGAAATAAGTCCCGTTTCGAAACCAACGGCAATATACAATTCGTCCTGTGAAATGTCACAGTATGTCATTTTCTGTACGAAATTATGCTTATAATAATAGATCGCTTCTATACGTGTTGGTAATACGTTTTTGTTTTCATTAAAAGTGAAGAGAATTAGATCATGTGATTCCCTTGAGATTGCTAAATAAGTCCTCTTATGACTCAGACAACTAAATGTGATATTCGTATCCGCCGAGTTAGAAATTTCCTTTCGACTTTTTGTTTGCCAGACTGTTTGGTCGATTTGCCAGATCAGTATGACACCATTCTGCGAGATCGTTATTACATGATCGTCGTTCAATTTGTGGATAAACATAACTCGTCCTGTGTTATTCACCATATAAGATACTTTAGTGTTTTGCCATACCTATAAACATATTAATTAATTATTAATATTTGTACGTTGAATTGCTTTTGCATAACAAAGCTACAAGTTAGTATTACATACTCTCAAACTGTGGTTTGTTTCTCTACAGACGATTATGTCGTTATTGTTAATATTTAATATTACGAATCTTATGGGATGTAACGATGATTCCATAATGGCAAATGCTTTATCAGATTTGATATCAAACAACATGAGTTTGTTGCTGTACGACACGGAATTCTTTTCCATGACGTACAATACCTTGCTTCCATCAGAAAATAATTGCAAGTTCGATATCTGCCCTTCTGTTGAGGTATTATACACGAATCCCGCTATTTGTGTTTTCCCATGCAATACCATAATGTGGTTCGTGTAGTTTTCTTTCACTATAATGTCCATTTCATCGTTAGGTTTAACGATTGCGTCAAACAGGGCCTTCCTAATTTAATAAGAAAAAGACAATTAGGCGACGTTTAATACGCAATTTAAGAAATGATGTATTAAGTCAATATCGAACAGTTCAATCGATCAGTATCTTTTCAATTTTTCGATCAAAATGTTTTTTCATATAATACTTGTACAATATGCTTTGTTACCTTATTACTAATGTCGATGACAAATCGTGTACAGGTAATTTCCATCTATGTAGCAAACTATTTTCGGTTCCGCATATCTAAAAGAAAAAAAATTCTGTTTCTGAAAATTCTAATTCTAAAAAATCTCGAGCATAATCTCAGATCTGATCGAATATAATTAATTTAGTATCAATACATACAAGGTGATAATATTCGTCCTTGAACCAGTAAGTATCCAGAGATGTGACACGATTTTTGTATATTGCTATTGGCTGATAGCCAACATCCGTGTCCCATACGTTGACGAAACCACCGGAGTCAGCAAGAATCAAATACTTGCCATCATTGGTGATAGTGGCACAGACAAAAGTTAATGTGTCATTTTCAACATATGCCCTTTCCTGTTTCTTAAAGTTGCATACCAACTGTTCATTCCACTTTATATACAGAGCTCTTTTGGTTGTAACAATCATTAAAGAATTATCATGCTCCGGCACGTTATGGAAATAAATAACTTGTCTATCTTGTAATTGCAAATTATAACAGCAAGCATATTCGTATGTGCTCTGATCATGACTGCTTCTAGAGTACACGTAAAAAGAACCTTTTGATTCATTCATGACATGTAACAATGTACCCTCGTCAGTGAATGCTATCTTTGTGATTGAATCACTATAACAAATGTATAACATGGTATATATAATCATTTGTTATCATATGTTATTGTTGTCGATTCATATCGTTTTACTTAATAATTGTACTTACGATTTTATCCTTTTTATGGAAGACACAATTTCACCATTTCGATTCCATATCTGTACCGCCCCTTGGTCAGTACACGTAGCAATCAATTTGTCTTGGTATCCAAATACCATGTCCAATATGATCTCGTTTTTAATTGATAATTCCAATAAGCTATCGTCTTGCTTATTGTCGTTCGTAAAGAAGCCGACCCAACTCTTTTGCTTCTCCTTGGGGCTGCCCAAGTGTACGTGATACGGGTGATCTTGTTCATCGTAGTACAAACGAAACAATTTTACCACGCCATTGTCGGTTAACGTAAGGAAGAAGTCACCTTCAGCAGATACAACAATCTTTTTAACGGAAATTTTGTTACTGTGACTATTGTAGACGATTTGCTGCTTACTCTCACAGTTCCACAAAACCACTTTACCCGACCTGTACCCGGTCAAAATCATGTTAGGATCATCCGTGAAAGATGACGTACATATTCCACTCGACACTTCCTCGCTGAGCGTCATATTGGTGTATGTGGGCTTTTTGTCGTGAGATAAATATAGATATTTTTGTTTCTTCGCAGCCAAATCTCTCACAGTTTGCATGATGTAGCCTTCATGTGTGTGATTCATGCCGATTTGAACGATATCAAGACACTTCTTGTGCCTATGCTCCGCTATAACGCTCACTTGCTCTTGGAGAAATGTTTCCAAGTCTGAGACATATGCCTCGTAAGTATTGATGTTGCGTGTTATATACGAGCGATATTTCTTAAGATCTAATAACAGGTCATTCAAACCCGAGTGTATTATTTTAGCTTGAATAAAGTCCAGGTTCAAATAAAGGTGCGTAAACTCCTCGTATAACTTAGCTTGCTCTAAATGGTAGCCGATGTAGGAATATATGTAATTGTCATTTGGCAACTTTGAGAAATCATTGTTGCAATATTTGCGATACTGTTCGATGACCGACTTGTGCAACTGTGTTAATTCGTCTGGCTTTAATTTTTTCCGTAAGTGACTTAACAGCAAATCGTGCACGCCGTAAATGTAGCTCTTTGAATCTTTGTTCCATTTTTTCGCAGCGAGCGATTTGTGGCACAAATCCTGCATTTGCTGTTCCACGAAGAACATGTCGTCATACTCCCAGATAATTTCTAGCGTCTAAAAAAAAGTTTTGTTCAGTGATGTAAACTTAAGAACATATCTCGCGTTGAAAAAGGATACGCATTGACTCGTTGGATAACCAAATAGTAATTTTTTAATATATCATACCTTTCGTGTTATGTTAACATCTTCATTGAAAATTGCTAATTTTTTATACTGCTCTTTCAACTCTGGATTCAGTTGATCAATACACATATCAAAAATAGTCTCTTGTTTTTCTAAGAATTTTTTGATCACTCTGCAACAAGATATGATAATGATAATGTGAAATGAATAACTGATTGGTTATTTCGAAATAATGGAGCATTTTTACTTGTTCTTTGGATCCTTCTCAATCAAAGATCGTAAATAATATTTCCATCTATCGCGGGTCCCATTTACTATTATCATCTCCTCTTTATACTCTTCAAATTGTGCCGCAAACATTGCTATGAGCAACGGCATTCCCTTACACTCCCTATGAATTTTCTTCGCTTCTGGGGGCAATTGATCTGCGCTTATGTTCAACACTTGAGCGAATAAGCCTAAAGTCTCCGCTTCTGTAAATCCATCATCCATCTGTGAAACGAGAAAACACATACTTTGTTTAAGTACAGTAAAAAGTGTAGTACAGTAAAAAAATGACTAAAGTGTTAAAATTATTTACTCAACGTTCTAGAACAAAACCCTCAAGCAGAAAAATTCTGACAGAATAAAGGATGTTGTAGACAGTCTTACCCTTATCGTTTGTTTGCTAATTCTTCCATCCAAAACATCGATATCAGTGGTAAGAATTAGAGTCTTACATTTGAAATCAAAAGCATTGATAATCTTCTTATCGTAAACGTCGTCTAAAACTAATAAGGCATTTTGATGCTCCGGTTTGCTGAAATGATGTTCCAAGAACCGGACCAAGGAATCTTTCTTCAGCGGAGTAAATAGTTCTGGTTGGGTTTCGAAGTTTTTCACATTATGATAGAGTGCGGTTAATTGGATTAATATCTCTTCGTCGATGAAACGTTCACATATAAATTTGATCCAGTAAATTTCGCACTTAAATGAAAGAACAAAGGAGAATTATGTGCTCTTGTGTATAAAACGTAATATCACATAAACATAGTAGTCGATGTGAAACTTACCGCGAAGAGATTTGTCACTAATTTTATGTCTTGCAAAGTAAGAACAGTTAGACTGGACTTCCCAAATCCTTTCATGCCATGTAACGTAATATAATCCCCGGGCCTTAATTGCTGCAAGGCATTCTTTAACTGGATAATCTGAAAACATCATACATCATATAAGAGACGGTTTTCCTGTTTCATGTATTAAAATTTATATACTACGGTGCAAACATTGTAAAAAATCAGGTGCGAACATTGTGACATAGAGTTATAATATGAATTACAAGATAAACTTACGCAATTTATGTTTCCATACGTATGCATTTAGGAACACAGTTGAACTAGATAACAATTAAACTGCTTATTATGACAAATTAGATCCTATATACATAGGATCGACACAATACGTTATCTCAAATTGTCAAGAAGAAAAATCTCTCCATTTTGTTTGAATTATTAAAAAATTTTGATTCAGTTAAGCAGCAATAATAAGGTATTCAATTGTAAAGATATGGAAATCAGTCGAGGTGAATATTGACGTGTCATAGTTTTATCTTATTGCGTATATTGATGGTCAACCACAATCAAATGGGATCTGGATGACTCATATTTTAGTGTTATATAAAAAAATCGCGTAAACAATTATACCTTTTGTTCTCTGGTAACTGACAACGGAGAAATGGGTGGAATACTAGAAGGCGCCTTGTAATTTGCTCCATTTGTTTCTGCTTTGAAGTTACCAAGCACATTATCTATAGCGTCGCTAAGCCACTCATAGTGACGTTTTAGTGCTTGGTGAAAGACATCAAAGGAGCGTAAGTCGCATCTTAAAAGTGTTAATGAGATCATGATTATGTTTGTTATAAGCCACGACGTTACATCAGAGCGCAAACTATAAAAGTATGGATCGTTACATTAAAATTATTTTCTATTATTACGTAAATTAGTATTGAAATAAAAAAAAAATAACGAGCAATGAGTACGTTTGCACAATACACATATTAGCAAATATCAACTGCATTAGCAAATAAATACCCTGAAAGTATATCTAACAAGATACTGGCTTTCTGTTCGTTATCAGCCCCTGCGTTGATATTCTGTATATCTCTGTCGTTTAAAATAAATTCGCTTTTCAGGGATGATATAATGCCATTATTAACGTCTAAATCCGCAATTATCTGTCTTCGTAGATGTCGAAGAATATTTCCAGGTGTATTTTCCATTTTATACTGGAACTTTATATTACATACTATCGTAATTTTGGCTCTTATCTAAAACAAATATTCGTTGATTACAGATAACTCCAGCACTTAAAAATAGATATAAGTTTACAATCATGACGATATATCGTAGAAGTTTATTATTCAAAATAATAACAGAGAAATATTTTGGATAAAATTCTTTCGCGAACTTAATCATATCGCTCTATCGTGTCACTATGAATGTTTCGTTATCTTAACATTTTCTTTTTGGAACAGCATGATCAAAATTATGCTATATAAAAGACGCAAAAAAGAGTTCGCGGTTTTAAAAAAAATTTTTATTTTATATTTTAATAGGTAATTTATTTATTTTATAAAATAAAAATGTTTTAAATAAAAATGTTCGCGGAATTTTTCGGTGATCGAACATATACGCACCACATATATGACACATGTAATTTAGATATCGGTTTATGAGAAAAAAATTTTAATTTATTCGTATTTATTTAGCTTTAAAATATGCTCGAAGTTTGACTAAAAGACAAATGCGGAATGCTTAGTGTTTGATTTGCATTGTTTAAAAATTTGATTGTTTAAATAACTCGAAAATAGTATTACGAACGGAAGATGAACAAATTTTCTTTATCACTTTTTCTGACAATATATCATAATTCTTAAGTCCACGAATAATTTGAAATTATTAACATATATTAACTTAAATGCATCTTTTGAAGAGTTAAATGAAAATTTAATTAAAAATTTCGAATCGTTCGAACTATTCGATCGTCCGAAAATCTGAAGGATTAACTTCGGACGGATTCCGTAACTGGCAATTCTAACGGGATTCCCCAATCGTGCATTTTATTACAACACGGATTATACAAGGTAACCATTGGTCCTGTCTCAGTTATAATTAACAAAATTTTTCTTCCTCTTATTATTTTTAAATATATCAACCGTGAATGCGAAAGAAGCAAGCACATTTCTGAGGAAACGTAAAGTAGAATCGATCGTTTTAATGTACTTTTATGATGAAGATCATTCGATGTGATGCGACTACATACGTTTCACGATGCTGCATATATTGTAAGTTCTGTCAGTATAATATCGAGTATAAAAAAAGTATCGAAAGAGTAGCGTCGGTCAATGACTCTGAAAATCGACCTTTGTCCAGTAGCGTTCAGTATGTATGGCTATGAGAAGTGCAGAAGACAAAATTTCAATTAAAATAGAAGCCAACGAAATATATTCTTACTTTTAAGCGACCGCCTCCGAGGTTTCTTTATTGTGCACAGCTCTTTGTTCGAAAATCTGAGTAATCCCTTCAACGTTGTATCAGCGACTATAGATTGGACGGCAGGCAAGCGACTGGTTGGCGGACATACCGGGTAGCTATGTAGGAGGAAGGAGAAACTTTCGCATGCGCACTGAAGATAAGAAAGGTATCCAGGAGCGTATTTTGAGATACATTTCGCTATGCCTATTACGAAAGAAAAATAATGTATCTGAAAATGATAAACGTGTCAAATAATAAAACGAAGGCAATTTATTCAAACATACATTAGATAAATTAGAGTTCCTCGCGAAAGTTTCAATACTGAAAAACCAATAAAAATCAAGAGAAACTAAGAGTATTATCGTGCACCAGGAATTTGAATCAATAAAAGTTAATGTTTACAAATTGCAAATTTTGAAATGTCTGTGCGAATTTTGCAAGAAGAATATACGTATGAAATTAACGATATAGCTATTTTATTATCCTTATATAACCAAAGAGCAGTTTTAGGAATAAAAATATTAAACAAATATAGTGTTTTATATTTATGATAATGTCTTTGAAACAACACTAGACTCAAGATGCAACAAGACATTCAAGAAAAAAATTTCTTTTTCATAATGTTTCCATTGTCTCTTGATTCAGAATTTATTTCTGATCTCATATCTTATAATACTAGAAATATTAATATTAGTACAGGTATTAGCACAATTATGAAAATCTTTAAAGAAATTTTTTGCATGTTTTCAACGTCTACAAATTCGACCCCTTCTGATATGTACGAGCCTGCTAAAGTCGCATGATCAGATGCGCTGTTCGTATGCGCCCTGTGAAACACGAGGTCGCCACGACGTCGTCGGCACTAGCACTTGTTTCTACACTTGTCACAAACTGCATTTTTCTGTCAAAAACTGTTTTGGCGAAAATGGCTAGTTGACAATGATGGGAAAATCGCAGATACGAGATGTAATATACATAGATACGTATAATACGTTTGTCTTTCCACTGTCACAGTCGTTAGCAGTAGAGATAAACAAAAATGAAAAGGAAATTAAACATTTTTCTTTCAATGTTTATAATGTGATGTAACATGTATATGTTTTATTCTTTTATTTCGGTAAGATTTTGGTAAGATATTGTTTGCAATTTTCCTCTTTATAGTCTAAGATGATGCAATCATTTTAAGATCTAGTACTGCGATGTTCCTTTCTTACCTTTTCACCTTCCTGTCCCTTGATTTCTTTGTTCCATGTTATATATTCTTTTTCTATAATACTTTTTCTAAACCTGTTTTCCCTTTCCCGAACATGATCCCTCGATTTTTGTGAATATCTCTGCAGGTATCTTATTCCGTTAAGTTTAAATTTTTGTTTCATCATGCTAGTATGAATTCCACACGCATAAATTCCATCGAGAATTATTAAAATAAAAATTATTATATTTATTAAATGGATATTTTTTTATAAAATATTTTGAAAAAATTTTTATGAATGTCTTGGCAAAATATCCAAAACATTTATAAAAAGATTGATAAAAAAGTAAATATCTATGAAAAGATGGTCAAATGAAAGAAAACGTAGCTATTTTGTACCTTTAAAAATACGAGAAAAGTGAATAACGTAAAACTGGATGATTACAATGACTGTGAGCCATGTTTGAAAAATATATATATTTAAAGATTATTAGGATCATGTGATAAGTTAACGTAAGATAAAAAAGAGAAATGAAATAAAGATAAAATAGAGAAAAGAAGATCAAAGAAATATTACGTTTTGTGCGAGAGAATTCTATCGTTCATAAATTTAATACTGTGTAGATCAATTAAAAATTTGTTTTGTTTAGAATATTGATACAGGATCATAAACAATAACGGCAATTAATTGAATAATTTGTTTTTAATGAACATAATGAAGGTAAATTTAATTTAAAATACGAATTGAACTTTTGACTGATCCAATATATCTAAATGTGTCAAAATGCTTTATATATTTATATTAAATTGATGTTAATAAATTATTAACTACAGTAGTTCGTTACAGCAGCGTTAAGGTACAACTCGTCCGATATGGTCTAGTGGCTAGGATACCTGGCTCTCACCCAGGAGGCTCGGGTTCGATTCCCGGTATCGGAAATTTCTTTTGCTATTTTTTAAAGAAAAAAAAAAGAAAGAAAAGTGACATTTCCTGTACGATTAGAATAGAAATATATAAATGACTCAGGATATATTTTGTTTGGAACAGTTTAACACCTATAAGGATATGACAAATTCCTTTTGTCCCATACATATCTATTAAACTGTATTCAAAGTATGTTGTATAAAAATAAATTTAAGAATTCGCGAACGCAACTATAGACTCAGTATACTTCTTAGCAATTAGAACATGAAATTGTACACACTGGAATTCACACTGTAATCGTGTGTGACTTTAAATTTAATAAGAACTATCAAAGAAAAGCCAAAAATAATATATCATTGTTGACCCCAATATAAGGAAATTATTTAAATATGTTAGGAAATTTAACAGAATAGTACATAAAGAAATAAAAAAAGATACCACATGCAGATGGCAAAAATATTCCTGCGATGGCCGGGAATCGAACCCGGATCAACTGCTTGGAAGGCAACTATGCTGACCATTACACCACCATCGCAGTTGCAAAGAGATTTTAAATATAGACACACGAACTCGGTTGTGTATTGTAGTCAAATATAATAACCACATATAAACATTTCTTTAGACTCCTCAACTCTGTATATATTTTCTCATACTTCTCCGCAAAGTATTATTGTTTGCATAAACAAACTGTCCGCTTATCTAAATAATTATTTGTTCGCGAAGTAAGTTGCTCATCTGCTGCTTATCTTGGGAGACAAATAATCGATAATCGTTGATGACACGGATAAGTAATAATTTGCGCCGCCGCGAATCACAACTGATCAACGTGCCACTCAGTCTGCGGTGTATTAATCGTCATCTAGCCGTTTACGCGGATATATGACGTTTTCGTGAACGGTTTTTCATGCGTAATATAACCGACGTAGAATAGCGCGACGGATAATGAACGTACATGCTGCGCGGCGCATTGTTTTCCACTCGCCAATTAAGCAGCATTACCTGTCCGAAATGATGCGCTCGCCAATTAAACGGTATTATGTGCCTCGAAACGATGCGATACGATACGATGCGCTCCCAAAGCCGCCGGCTCCCAAACTGCTCCTTTATCGGGAAAAATTGAAAAACTTTAGATGCAATCAATAACTTCGGGAACGTATTGTGCACTCTCGGCTGATACGGTGCCTGGCCCCGCTCATGGTTTACAAACTGGTTTGCGATTAAAACTCGTCTCCCTCTCTTTCTCTCTCTCCCCCTCTTTAATAATCGTCACTGTCGTGTATGCCGGAAATGCTATTAGGTGTACAAACGAATAATCCAAATTTTTCAGCTAAATTCAAGGTTTATTTTAAAAGAAAGCAAAACAAATTTGTCAATCAAAGTATTCGCCGTAGTTTTCTATAACTTTAAGCAGCCCATTTTTCAGGCAGCTGATGAATTCCATGTCGGAAAAATGTTGTGTCTTTGGACACGATAAAGTTGTCGAGATCTATTTTCGAATCTGATCCACTGATTTGAAGCGCGTATCGAACAAGGCATACACCGACCGGAACAAATGGTAATCAGTAGGAGGAATGTCTAGTGAATACGCCGCCCGGCTACAAGACGTCGCGGACAAGACTCATTATGATATCTTTTATCGTAGAAGCAATGTGTGGCTTAGCGTTATCATGCAACAATTTCACAGAACGTTTTTCTCTGCCCCTATATAGGCGTTTTTGTGCTAATTCTTGATTCAAACGGATTAATTGGCGTTAGTAACGGTCCGCAATAATTGTTTCATTCGATTTTAATAGCTCATAATAAATCACGCCCTTCATATCCTAACAAATGCAAAGCAGAATCTTCTTTTCGAAGTGTTTTGGCTCTGCGACCGATGTTGATAGTTCGCCGGGATTTACTTATGACTTTCTGCGTTTCAGATTGTCATAGAATATCCACTTCTCATTCAGTCCGTAACAATTTTCCACGAGAAAGATTTTCTATGCTGCTTATTGAGAAGAGAGACACACTACTATTTGTTTTTGTTGGCTTCAGTGATTCATGCGGAACCTATTTTCCTTCTTTCTGAATCTTCCTCATCTCGTGTAGACGTTTGGAAATAGTTTGTTGCGTTACTCCTAACTGCTCTGCAAGCTCTTTTTGCGCTTGTGCTGAGTTCTCAGCGAGCAGTTACTCCAAATCATTGTTGCCTCACTTCTGAGGGTCTCCAGGACGTTATTTGTCACTCAGACTGATATCGCCGTTTTTAAACCGTCTAAACTAAAATGCATGCTCTATTAGCATTTTTTCCTTCTTGGAATTCATAAAGAATGCACTGTCGGGTATGCATCTTATCCGACCGTTGCCATTTTTCACTATATTGAACTGAATAATTTTTGAAGTTATATTGAGCCTTCCGCCATACTAAATGTAATTTTTAATAATTATATGCCAACACTACATAACCGTAAAAGAGCTGGAAAATTTGATTATTTGAATCTTAATTTCTTAGCTGCTTGGCTAAAAAAGTTTGGATTATTCATTTTTCTAATTATTTAATATTCGTATACCTGATTTGTATTTAAATTTAACGACAAGGCCGGTTTATGAGTGAAGGAATTTCTCTTTCAAGCATACCATATGAGTGTGTTTCTCGGTAAATGATGCACGATCAAAAATGCACGATATTGGTTATCGTAATATTTTCGTCACCGAAAAGAAGGATTGCGCTTCACGATAACGAGAAATATGGCTTTATAGTAAAAGTCGGAAATAAAAAGGATGGACGTTCTAGATCGATTATACGCGTGCGTGATTTAAAGAAGTGAGTTAGACAGACGTGATTCAGTGTGTGATTTAGAGAAGTTGGATAGACAGGATTCAGTGTGTAATTATTTCCTGTGGTTATTATGTCGAACGTGCGTCATTGCGATCAATTGAGACGTCAAGAGATCGTCAGATCGATAAGATGTCTTTGATATTGCATTCGCAGAACGTCCATACTTCGCTC